CCCAGTGGGCTTCTGAGGACAGAACAGTGAACAGGCACACACACAGAGCTCACCCACCCTCCACACCACACACACACACACACAGAGCTCACCCATCCTCCACACACACACAGACACACAGGGCTCACCCATCGTCCACACACACACACACACACAGAGCTCACCCATCCCCCACACACAGACACACACAGAGGGCTCACCCATCCTACACACACACACACACACAGAGCTCACCCATCCTCCACACACACACACACACAGAGCTCACCCATCCTACACACACACACAGAGCTCACCCATCCTACACACACACACACACACAGAGGGCTCCCCATCCTACACACACACACACACAGAGCTCACCCATCCTACACACACACACACACACAGGGCTCCCCATCCTACACACACACACACACACACACACGGGGCTCACCCATCCTACACACACACACACAGAGCTCACCCATCCTACACACACACACACACACACAGGGCTCCCCATCCTACACACACACACACACACACACACACACACACGGGGCTCACCCATCCTCCGCGCCGTCGGAGCCAGGTTGCCAGTGTCTTGCGCACAAACTCCCCCAGGCAGTCCACCAGGGCGTGAACCAGGGCAGGTTGGGCCTGCCGCACGCAATCCACGGCCAGCCCGGCCGCCACGGCATACAGAGAGACCACCTTCCCCCAGGTGATGCCTGTGGGAAGAGACCACTGCCCGTCAGCAGGAGCACAGGTCATACCTTCTGAGCCCCTTCCACCCCCCTGGGCCGGCAGCACGAAGCCAGGTGCCGCCCGAAGGAGGAGCCTGGCCGTCCTCCCAGGCAGGTGTTCAGGGAACCCCTCGGGCGGTCACAGGGCCAGCTCCAGTGCACGCCTGCCTGAGCCTGGTTGTGTGGAGGATGTGGCCGCAGGGCGGGGGTGGTCTGCACAGCACCGAGGCTGACGACGCGGTCCAAACCGTGCTGCCAGCGGACAGGATCGGGTCTGCCTCTGCTCCTTATAAAGATGAGGCCTCAGGGGTGCCTGCCCCAGACAGCTCACCCGGGGGCCAGAACCAAGACGCGGACACCTCCGGGAAAGGGCAGATGGATGGAAACGATGTGGGAGGAAGGCCTGAAGTCAGGACATGTTTCCCTAAGAGAGTGGGTAAATCATTGAGAAAAATAAACCTCTCCAGATCCAGAGTGTGAACAACACAGAGGCTGAGGAGGGCCGAGGGTGTGGCTCTGCGCAGATTATCTGCCTAGCACACATAGGCCCCAGGTCCAAGCCCTGCACTACAAGGAGGAGGGGGAGTGTGAAAAAGATGACAGGGCTGGGAAGGTGGCTCAGTGGTAGAGCGCTTGCCTTGCATGCCTGAGGCCCTGGGGTCGATTCCCCAGCACCACATAAGCAGAAAGAAAAAAGCCGGAAGTGGGGCTGTGGCTCAAGTGGTAGAGCGCTAGCCTTGAGCTGAAGAGCTGAGGGACAGCGCCCAGGCCCAGAGTTCAGGCCCCACGACCGGACCCCCCCCCCAAAAAAAAAAAAGATTACAAGTGGTGGTGGTGCATCCTGAAACCTCAGTGGAAACAGATCAGGAAGACATCAAGAGTGAAGACAGCCCAGGCTACCGAGGGGTGGGAGGCCTGGCTCGAGCGGCAGAGCATCTGCATGAGCGAAGGTGAAGACCTGAGTTCAAACCTACCGGCAAAGGAAAACACAAGGAAAGAGAAGCTCAAATAACACATCCTAGCCAGGCACGGTGGCTCACGCCTGTCATCCTAGCTACTCGGGAGGCTGAGAGCTGAGGATCACGGTTCAAAGCCAGCCCAGGAAGAAAAGTCATTGAGGCTCTATCTCCGAAAAACTAAAACCTAGAAGTGGTGCTACGACTCAAGTGGTAGAGCACTAGCCTTGAACACAAAGAGGCTCAGGACAGCACCCGGGCCCTGAGTTCAAGCCCAAGCCGGGGGGCAGGGGGGTAACATCTCCTCCTCACCATCCTTTCCAGAAGGCAACCTGAGACGCAGCCGGTCACCGCCACGTAAACCCATGCGGGGTTCAGGTAACCGTCTCAGTGTTGCGGGGGCACGCCCGCCCGCAGCAGCCCTCCCAGGAGCCTAGGCTAGCAAGTAACGCTGGCAAAGAGGACAGAACCCCAGCCTGCGTGACCTCTCGCAAACACAAATCAGACCACGGACTTGCTCACAAGGGCCACAAGGCGCAGACAACCCAAACGCCCTTGCTGGCCCAAGAACCCCACCCCACCGCACACGGTCCGGGGCTCCCCGGGCCGACACCTCCACTCGCTCGGAAGCCCACCCCAGGGTCCCTCAGGGGACCCAGAGCCAGTGCCCCTGGCTGCCTCCCAGTCCAGCACTGGGCAAGGGTGGGTGGGCAGCAAGGGCTTCCCTCCCTGCTCACACAACACCATCCAGGGCCTAACCCACCTCCCAGCTCCATAAGCTACCAGGCCAGAGCTGGGCTCAGAAGGACATGTTCCTCGTGAATCCAGCCGGTGGCTCACAAACAGGCTTGCTCACGGGCTGCAGTCAGATCCATAGGTGGCCACGTGCAGCCTCAGATACACCTCCGGAGAGCGCCCCTCAGTCCACGACGCTGGCCCTGTTCCCAGCCCTGCCCTGAGCCTCACTGGCTGCATCCTCCAACATGCTCCAGGGGCTGGAGCTCACCCACCAGCTCCCGGTGCAGCCCTGGACCACCATGGACACAGCCCCTGCCACGTGCCCACGCCCTGCGGCCCACGGGCCCTCTGCCCCCAGAACCCCACCCTCACACCCCACGGGGTTACACTGGCTGACGCTGTTCTCCTAGGCTCCCGGCCTAGCCAGGACTTCCCTCCCAGCAAGCCTAGGGCAGGGACATGGGACACACGTGGAGCAGCCCAGTGGGCTTCTGAGGACAGAACAGTGAACAGGAGGTGTCCAGCGGGCTCTGAGGACAAGACAGTGGACAGGTGTCCAGCGGGCTCTGAGGACAAGACAGTGGACAGGTGTCCAGCGGGCTCTGAGGATGGGACAGGACAGGCTGGGAAGAGCCCCTCAGCACCTGGTGAGCCTGGCTCTGAGTACAAGGAGAACAGGAAGGGCTGGCCTTGAGGGAAGGGCAAGGAGGCCACAGAAGGGTCCAGGTCAGCTCCCAGCTGCCTTGGAACACTTCCACAGGGGCTTGCGCGCAGCTGGGTGAGCCCTCACCTAGACCTTCCCACACTGGGCTCCACCCCGCGGCTCAGAACGCATTCCTGGACGCTCCCCACTGCCCCCAGCACCGCACGGTGAGAAGCCAGGCCGCCCTGGTGTCACCCACACCCTGAGGAGCACCACGGCCCGGCCGGTACTGGACCCGAGGGCCGGTGCTGGACCCGAGGGCCGGTGCTGGACCCGAGGGCCGGTGCTGGACCCGAGGGCCGGTGCTGGACCTGAGGGCTGGACGGGCCTGTGCCTAGGCCCTGGCTCACGACAGGCACCACTGTAGGAGTGCAGCACAGCTCACAACAGGTGTGTGCGTCCGGGCGGCTCCAGGACCCCATGGGGCTTGGTCTTCTCGGCAAGGCCACCCTCGCCCACACATGCTGGCCCTCCCCGGGTGTCCCAGCAGCAGACCCATCCTACCTGCAGAGAAGATGTGGCTGGCCACAGCCAGGAACGCATCCGTCACCACGGGCTCCGACTGCAGGGAGAGGTGCAGCTGGCGGGCCACGTTACGGTACACACTGGGCCGGATCTGCTCCAGCTCGTCACCTGTGGGGACACACAGGGCTCAGGGCCCACCTGTGCCCCCCACGGTCACCCCAGGCCACTCCTAACCCACCCCGGAGCCACGCCCCCGCGGAGCCACGCCCATCCCAGCTGACTGACTTCACAGGCCCAGGGGGCAGGACCAGACAAGTGCTGTGGGCACTCCCACTCCAGGCTGTGGTGCTGCCCCAACCCCCCCCCCCCCCCCGGCAGGAATCCTGCAGGGGGGAGTGGGCCCTGCCTGCTGGTGACTCTCAGGAGCCAGCCAAGCTGCTCAGGCAGAGCCCAGCCTGGCAAAGGGCAGGGAAGGGAGCCCCTACACAGGCCTCCGGACCCACGCTCCAGTGGGGAGGCCCCAGGCTGCCACACAGGGACAGCCTGGCATAGACCCCACCATCATCTGGTGATGGCTCAGCAAACAACCTGTAGATGCTGATCCACAGCCCCAGGCCATCAGCACCACCCACCGCCACCACCAGGAAGGGTGTGTGTGTGTGTGTGTGTGTGTGTGTGTGTGTGTGTGTGTGTGTGCGTGCGTGGGCGAAGCAGTGGAAAGATGGTGCCTGGAGCTCCACACTGCCACAGACTGGGAGTCCCCAGCTCAGCCAAAGCACACAGTGACATGCTGCATGCTGGACTGGCCACTGGTAAGGGCTCCCAGTCACGTCTAGAGCTGACCGCTCCATCTAATTAATGAAGGCCTAGAAGGAGAGCAGAGGCAGGGCTGTCCAGGGATGGGGGATGCCGTGGGAATTCTCAGGATGGCTTGTCTGTTTCCAAACACAGACCCTGGGGGCCCATAGCGGCTGGTTTGGGGGGCACGGCATGGCACAAAGGTGGGCTGCTTCCTGCTTGTGGCAGCCTGCAGGGCTGGGGGAAGCTCAGGGGTCACAGCACCACACTACGAAGAGACTTACCCTAAGACACAGAATCCAGCAAGTGGACATGAACAAGAACTCCTAAGGTCTGAGCTGTCTCCTGGGGTCCCTTCATCTGTATGGCAGGGCTGGTCTAGGCCCTGCCTGCCCAGCCCCAGTGCAAGGTTTGTGCCTGTTCCCCAAGCCTGTGACAGTGTCCTGGGGGGAGGCAGGCAGGTCTGAGGGGAGAGGCTAGCTGGGCAGACAGCAGGCCACCATCCAGCAGGACTTTCTCCCGGCCTGAGCCCTGCTTCTGAGGAGCATCACCTCCACAGCAGCCGGGTCTCACAGAGCCTGGCCCTGCTCCCTTCGCCTCCCACCCCACGCTCAGGCGGCGGTAATGAGTCCATGGATGGGACTCATGCCCCTCTGGGGCAGGCCGGGTGGACACATAGCATGCTGATGCGGGGCCACACAGAGCAGAGGGTCAGCCTGCGGCCACCCCGGCACAGGCCCTTCCCTCAGACCTCCTTCCCAGTCAGGCCGGGCGAGGTGGGCCGACCCGGCGGCCCCTCCGCCAGGCCCTGAAGCAGTGGAGGCGCTGAGCTGTGACCCCGGAATTGCCCCAATCTCGGGGAGAGGGCAGCTGAAAGGCCTGTTTTCCAAAACAAACATGCGACTGCGGTCCGAGGGCAAGGGTCACCCAGAGGCTAGCGCGGCCCTTCCCAGGCCCCTGCGCTGTGTCTGACGGGCCGCGGGCGGCCGCCCGGGTGGGAGCCCGGGAGCCGGTGCGGGCAGCCAGCAGGCGGGCGAGA